CGGGCGGAGAGGCGGCGAAAACCTTCCGTCCTTGTTCAGCCTCTGCCCCTGGCAGCCTGGCGCAGGGTTTGGCACGGACGGCGCGTCCTCGCCCTGGCTGCGGCCAGTGCGGGTTGTGCTCTCGGTGGAGCCTCCAACGCGCTCGTGCGCTAAGCGGAGAGCAAGGGGAAAGGAGCCCTGCGGGGAGCGCAGAGCCGTGCCGAGGGGCAAGGCTGGCTCACAGGGGCCGAGTGGGAACACACAGTCACTCTGGGTGTTCTCCCGAGCCTTTGGTTTCGGAGGAGTTAGTCATGGCTGCAAAATGCACATGATAAAAAAGGAGGTGGAAGAACTCTTCTCCAAGCCTAGGCTCGTTGTGTAAATAGTGAATTAAAGAATCATATCCTTCGGAGGGGGAGTGAGGGACAACCCGCTTCTGAGCTCCAAACTGGTGCAGAAAACATCCTTCTCCTCTGAGGGCCAGTTCCAGATTTGGCTCTCTCTGCCAATCGTAGCTCTAGGTTTGAGGAGGTTCTTTACTAAAGATGCCCCAAACTGTAAAAGTATCACGTTGAACTTAGTGGTTGCTAGTTTAGCTCTTACTGAAATGACTCTAATTTCTGACCTTATAAATGAGATTTCCCTGTTTTATCTTTAATGGTGCTTGCAAATTGTCCCTTAGCTTGCTTGTCTAGCTTAAAACTACATGAAAGCAGCAATTAAAAGTTTTTAATCAACTTTAACTCTTTTTGTGAAATGTGCAACAAAGGTTCCTTGGTAGCGGTGTGCAGGACATGGTAAGACAAAGCTCCTTCCTTTTCTGCCCCCGAATTCGCTGTTTAGAACAGTGGCTTTTGCTGCTGCCCACCAGCACCAAAAGCAGCGGCTCCCGGGCAGGCGCCGCGGCCCGTCCGGCCCCGTGCGGCGCTGCCGCCGCGTCGCCCATGCGCCGAGATGCTGCACAGCCGAAGAGCCGCGGGAGCAAATCCTGAGGGTGGGGGGGGCTAGCACTGAGAAAACGAGGGTTTTATTAATACTAACCGTGGCGTTGCCCTATTTATGTGCTAACTTTGCTTTCTCTAGATCTTGTTTAATTTGGCCGTTGTTATTATGGATTTTTTTAGTTGATATGCTTATTTGGGTGGATTTAGTATTCATTTGACTCTTCAAAGGACTGTAGTATCTCCTTCAGCCGTACTTTTCATGGATCTCTTGTAAATATTTAAGAAATCTTATTCAAAAGAACTCCTGAAACTTGTTTCAAAATTCATAAATAAAAATTAAAAAAACCAGCTCTCTTTCAAAATCCACGCAGAGTGAATTTTGAGGCTAGTTCTACCGATGCGTTTCTTAAATATTTAAAGTGGCCTCCAGTCAGTAGGGCTTCCATGAAGAGCAAAGAGTTAAAAACATAGGCGGGAACATGTTTTTAACCGCGTGCAGGCAGCCGCGCGGTCGTGGCGAGCGGGCCGGCGTCTCCGCGCGCTCCTGCACAGGGTCGGGGTTGGGGCCGCCTTGCCCTGCTTGTTTTGGGGGCCCTGCATGTCAGCGTGCCGAGACGCCAACATTTCATGCTGCTTGAGCGCGCGTTTGGCTGGAGTCATCCCCAAAAGCATCTTCCTGGCGTAGCTGCCGTGTCTGTGCTCCGTAATATCCTCCTGCTGACAGTTTTGTTGGGAATCGATATGGAAGAGCTGATTCAATTTGGACCAGATGAATAGATTTTGCTCTGGGGCTAGGAGAGCGTGTAAAGCTTGAACTAAGCCCAAGAGCGTGGAACCGACGAGGCTGTGGAGGTGGTTATTTGCGGTGCGTGTTCAGGCTCCCCAGGCGCCAGGAATCATCCGGGGCTCTGTCCTCCCGGTGCGGGGGCAGAGCTCGGCCCCCCGGCCCCTGGGGG